TGTTAAAAATGTTAGACACATCTGATTCCACAGAGATTAATGGCTTGGAAAATAAGTAACAGYGGTCTTATTTCTGGACTTGCTGAGCACCCACACCTCCAGCTGAAGCCAGTGGGAGCTGCGGATGCTCAGATCTTACAAAGCGCAGATTTTAAAGCTATGAGTTCACATGCAATACTGTAATTTAAATGACAAAATCGAATTTTTTCAGTATTAGAACACACCAGAACATAGCATCTCTGCATCCAAGCAGGGTTCCAACAAATAAGAAACATTCCAACAAGCCCTTAATTTGCAGTTTTAGCCCCTAAACAACGAGATGCAACTAGCCTGCTTTTTCTGCAAAGCACCAACAAGCAGCAGTTATGCAACGCAGCTGATTAGCAAACCCACTGCGCACGATTTGTTGTGCTGCATTTCCAAAATGCAGTCTCTCCCAGTAACATCTGACAGAGCAACATTTGACAGAGCAACAGCTACCTATTAGGCTCGTCCTGCTCCTCACATGAGTGCACAGAGCACTTGGGCGCGTGTATTTTTGGTCTCGAGTGATGAATAAAGCTCTGTTTCAGTCCTAACACCACCACTGCTGCGAACATATTCAGACCACTTGCTTCAGYGCCCAGGAAGGACTTAAACACCTTCCATCTTATCAATATCCCCAAAAAGTCACAGCTGAATGACTCAAGGCCACCTGCTCGCCGGACTCCTTGCCCGGCTCCCAGTGTTTGCACTCACTCAGAGCAGGGGCAGTGAGGACAGCCAAGTCAAGMATCCACAGCCGTGGCCTGTGAGCAGCAATGCATCCTGTTTCCACCCTTTGCTCTGCAGTACCTGTTCCTCCCTCCTTACAAAAGCCTGTGGAGTGTCAAATTTTCCCCCAAATATGGGGTTTTGTTCAAGTACAAATTTACTTCCAAAAGTAGAGCTTCTCAAAGCACTACGGTCTGCTTTTCTCAACTTAAAAAATTAAATACGTGCTTTCCGCCAGGTTCCCATCAAGCCGCTGCGCRTGCACTGAGGAAGCGCCTGTTCAGGTAGAGCAGGTATTTCCCAAGAGCAGTACACCCGACCTGCTGGGCCGCTTGCAGCGTGGCAGGGCAACACACATCAAAACACTGTCTTCATGTGGCCACGTTGGGATCCAGATCCACCCTGCCTGCCCCCAGCGGCTTGGCCCTGTCGTGCACCCAGGACCATGTCCAGCACAGGAGCAGGAACAACAAACATCTCTACTGCTCATCTCTAACTCAGTGTATTGGCTACTACTGTGTTCCAAGCACAATCTGGAAATACCAAACTTACAGAAAAAGCAATCAAAATCAAAGAATGCTTCTCATGTCCCATTTCTTCCCACACACTCCTCAAACAAGTTTCCCACAGAAGATGAATGCAATTTAAGCTTAAACACACCATGACGATTAGGAATGTAATACTGGGACAGTGCCTCCTCCTCGAGCACAACCCGTCTCCCCACAGCCTCTTCATTTTAATGTCATTAAAAGGAAGACCTTCTCCAGCCTTCATCCTTGTACCATCTGCAAGGGGAGAGGTGATCACYAACAAATTTGTCTCATCTAGAGTTTGAGAGCAAACTTCCTTCACTGGTCCTGRCAGTGAAATGGCATTAGTAAGTGGAGCTTATAATAAAACACARGAATAGCTGTTACCAAGAGCTGGGAGTTGGGTCCAGCCCTGCACGATGCTTCACTGTCAACTGTCTGTACATGTTGTTCTTGCCCTCTTCTCACTTTAGAAACAGGCAGATCAGGCAGCAGACGATTCATAGCAAAATTATCCCTGTCACAGGACAGCACTGGCTCTAACAGCTCTTTCTCGCTCTCAAAGATTTCATTCAGGCAGCAAACATAAAACTGACTCACAGGTGATCTCCAAAGCCTCCATCCGAGCAAACTCGGCTAAGAAACAAGCTGTGAAGGCTGTACATTTGTCACAAGAGAAAGACAGTAAGATAYACATGACATACATTCCCACAAGAGCACGCTCTTCCTTGCCAGCAAGTCTGCTGGCACTGAAGACAGACATCAAACATTCACCCSGGTATCCACCATGGAGAAAAACCTACAGATAAGTGATTTCTAGGTGTAACGGGGCAGATAGATGCCGCCTTACCTCCACTACACTCACAGCACATGTCTGAAATGCCCCAATGGAAGTCAAGTGCAGTCAGGAACTGCAGTTTGTTGGCTATTTTAAGTCAGCTGAAGTGCTGTCAGTGACATGTAACCTAGAAGAATTTATATGGGAAACAGCCCCCTGTTCCAAACAGGGCTGGCTTCAAAGTCACACCAGGTCACGTCAGACCTTGCCCAGTCAAGTCAGAATATCTCCAAGGTCACAGACTCCAAACTTCCTGTGCAGCCTATCCCAGTGCTTAATCATTGCAGGATTTTTTTCCCTGCATTTAATTGGAATTTCCTTGGCTGCAATTTGCAATTATTGCCTCTTGCCCTTTCACTGTGCAGCTCAGGGGCGAATCCCGTTAGATGACCACTGTGACCCCCATCAGAGAGCAGAAGACAGCAATTAGATCCCCCTCAGCTTAACCTTCTCCTCTTCAAACTGAATAAATCCCATTCCCTTCTGTTTCTCCTTAAAATTAGCATATAATCAAAAGGCAGCAYAGACAAAAGAGGATGCTGAAGCCCTACCAGACTATCAGGATGGCCTASTAAAGAAACTGTCTTCAGTGCACTGTGAAGGCAGGGATTTCACAAGCTGTCAGCCTGGAAACAAACGGTGCGAGGACAGGCACACACCTTGTCAGCAAGACCTCAGCTCCGCTTCTCCCACGGCCGAGTCCTTGTCAGGAATGACTCGGGAGACAGACAGGGTCAGTCACCGAAACGCCCRCGGATGGCAGCATGAATCAAGCACTAAACACTATTTTTTGTCATAGGGTTTTGGTCTGCTGTCTCCATCAGCGATTTTAGAAAGCTCACGATTYAAGAGAGCCAGCTGAGCTTTTAAGACCAGTCACGTGAAAAGAATCACTAATTACAAAGATCTGTTTTAACAAGACACTTATATTAATCCTTTCTCCTTTGACATGTTATGCCACAATTCTTCATTTAAGAAAGGTGGTTTTTTTTCCTCATTTTTCCTAGTATTAGTGATTTCTTGAGGCTCTAAAATGTTTTGGATTCCTATTCAATTCTTGCTTCCAAGCATTCCCAAAAGCTCAGCAATAAAAAAAATTCAACAGTGAGAAAGTGAAGGAGTTAAATCCATTTCCTGTATGATACRATTAGAACTCTTTAGCAACCGTGGAAACAATTCAGAGCTTCTAATCAAATGGTTAAGTCACCATTCTTGGAAATGTTTTGCCCATAAAGTTGTTTCCTCTATAGGGATGATTAACAAAAAAATCATTTATTCATTTGTATACGTAAGATTGAATTAAAATTATCTTTACGCATTCTTGCTCCATTTAACCGTTGCCATGAACCAAAATTTAATGAATTTCATTACAAGCAAGCACCAGAAAGCACATTATACTTCCAATCATACTGAAAAACAAAGACCTTAAAGCTGTGTTCTCATTCCAAGGTAGCCTGTGGACTTTTTTAGACATTAATTTAGACTCAGAGTCAACAGAGCAGTCTAGGAATCTGCATACTCAGTGCAGGAGTAAATAAAATACCTTACACACACACTTCAGCCTCTGAATAAGGCAGATTGTCCTGAGCTATTTTGTTTGATCCAATTATCTTTTCAGCTTTCTGACATCCCAAATTCTCAGCCATGAGGTATTAGATTCCAGAATCAAAAGCTCYTGAAAAGATAAAAAGATGCCCCTAAGACTTATAAGTACCCTTTTAAGATGATGCTCCCATTACCATTCTTTAATTTCCAATAATCTATTAAATAAAAGAAACATTTCAATGAATGTTAAAAAAAAACCAGTCAACTGAGCATAACTCCTGGATGCTGCCACAGAATAAGCCATTTAATCACAGTAAGAAAAAACAAAATAAAGATCAGGTTGATATCTACTTCAGAGGTCAGCATAAAACAACTTTGAACTTTAAGCTCAAAAAAACCCCACTATTTCCTCTTGAAAGACAAACAGGGCTGGGGGAGGTGGCAAGATTTAAACTTCACATATGCTTGAAAGATTCACTTCCTTTTCCACTAGGATAGGAAGACAAGATGTTCCCGTTACCAAAATATTAGGATTTTCAGTTTGGCAGTTGACTCTGTAWAAGGTATAAATCTACAACATTGCGTATGTAACTAAAGTCCCTACACAGACAATTTTTTAAACCTCTCAAGCTGCACAGAACAAATCTGCTTGGTGAATGACAAGTTCAAAGCGACACCGAGGACGCTGCACACTGGCACGGTAYGAGACACAAACACTGCTGCAATGTATCAGCACAAACAAGTGTTTAGAGTTGTTTATGCCTCAAGACTGTGATTCAATATACAATTAATACTTTTGCATTAAAGTACATCCACATGTGACACTGCTGACATCTAATTAAGTTTCATTTAAAGAAACCAGCCAGCACCCTCAGACTGGATGAGCAGGCATGAAATGCACCACAAAATGGTCTAGGTCTGCAGAGCTGCAGCTTAGGGTTTCAAACACAAGCCACTTTGATAAGCCACGTAAACACTAGGCTCAAAACACAAACATTAACCTGCCAGGGGAATTACCCTGTGCTTGTACCCTAGACCTCCTTTGGCCTGCAGTCCCCCTGCAAATCTTTGCAAAGCTCCTTACCCTGAAAACCGCCGCACCAGAGCCAAGACGCGTGATTAAAYACACTGCTTTTAGTTTCATTTGAAACCTCCGAATTCTAAACCTTGGTCTTCCAATGCCATCTGGCCTACTAAATGCTATCAAACTTTTCCGAGTTTATTTTTCCACCACACACAGTCCTCCGGTTAGACCAACTACAGTCCTCGAGTAGGTTTTTTCCTCTAAAGTTTATACAGGACATAGGAAATATCTGCTGTTAAGCATAACTCACTTTTTTTGCGGATGATCTCGGTCCAACAGAACCCGAATCCTCCTGCGCTGGTGCGTGATCGGGAGAAAACACTGCGCATGAAAAGAGATTATTTTTAGACTCCGTATTTGGGAAGCGGAGCCCTTCACTTCCTGTGAGCTCCACCTCACAGCGCCGCGCGCGTTCTCGTTGGATTTCCAAAGCCCCAGCATTTCACAACTTCTGCTACCAGGACACAGCGACGGGGCCGGCTGCTGGGGCTCAGAAACGGGAACTCGCCGTGTTCAGCTCTGCTCTAAAAATCTCCCCAAAAGTTGGAACGCAACGACYGTCCTCAAGGGGAAGGACACAACGGCGCCTCCTCCTACCGCAATTAGGAACAGAACCTTAAATATTTTTTATTTCTAACGCCGATCTTGCCCATGGCAACGGGGCATTCCCGGCGTGAGGGAGTTGCTATGGTGACACGGCCGGGATGTCGGCGGGAACACAAAGTTTGTCCCGCTCGGGACAGGGCGATCCGCACGGCTCCCGAAACGCGGGCGTTAATGCGGCGTTCCCGCCCGCAGCCATCCCAAGTTTCCAGCCATTCCGCCTTAAAAAAAAATATATAAAAATCCTTCAGAACTGGAGGAAACTTATCACAGGTGAAAATTAATGGCATGTCAATCCATTAAGGTGAAAAAAAGGCAGGAAAAAGGCAAAAAAATCCAAAGGAGTGAGGTGTTTCAGGGCAAGGCCATCATCTCCCAGCCCGTTCCCTCAGTTTAGCTGTTCCAATCCCTCAGTGCCTCTTTCTCCTGCGAACATTGCTACTGAACGGACAAAAACGGGGAAAAGCAGCAGGAACAGGAAGGGAGGACGGGCAGCGCAGTGCTCGGAGGCAGCCAGGCCTCTGCAAACGCACGGAACAAGTATTTTAAGAAAAAAAAAATAGTTTCCTTAAGTCATGGAAAAGGGGAAAAAAAACCAAAACCAAATATAATTAAATAAAGGCCGCAGTTTGCCGAATTCGCCCCTCCTGCGCGCGGCTCCTCACAAGTTGCGACTAAAGCTAAACCGCCCCCCCGGCCCCGCTTCCCGGCCCGCCGGCACCGGCCGCGGGCGCCTCCAAAGGCCGCGGGAACCGGGCGGCGTTCGGGGGTCTCGCTGAAACGCGGCGCCCCCGACACGGCCCCGCGGGCG